ACGTTGGCACAAAAAAAAAGGACATAGGTGAAGGGATATGTGACTAGGGACAGAAATGGCCAACACAACGACCGTTGCCCTATCTGTTCCACTTCCCTGAATAGCACTCAAACAAATATGCCTTCACGGCCATCAAAGCCACACAATCCCGAAAGAACCAGGCCAAACCACCAAACCTCAATCCCTAGCCCAACAGTATACTATACCTAACTTTGAAGGAACGACAAAGCTAAGCCCCTATGCTAAATAACACCCCCCTACCCCATAGAGCTATACTATGGGCAATGTGTCCGTGTTTGGGGGGAAAAAAAAAAAAAAAAAAAAAAAAAAAAAAAAGAATAAACCCTACTAATACCGATAGGGGGTATGAAGCTGGTTGACACTAAGTGCGCCGCAGGCGGTCATGAGCTCAAACCCACAACCTCCCGAACTGTTTGGCCCCAAACCAAACAACTGGACGTCGGCCCCAAGAAAACGATTGGACTTTATTTTAGCTAGAGGAACGCCTTGGGACCGTTGTATGGCAAGTGAAGTATTAGTGGGCTCTTTGTCAGACCACTACCCTGTTGTAATTGATGTACTCACAAGAGAGATCCTTGAAAGACATCGCCCCCCCTTCTGTCTGAATGTGGCCCTACTGAAAGACGAGGGGATCTCAAAGTGGGTGACAACTCACATGGAAGCATGGTCCGGGGCGCAGGATCTGTTCCAAGATTACAATGATTGGGCAGATACAGGTATAGCAATTGTGAGAGCAGCTCTGATACAATTCTCAAGAATGAAGGCAGCCATGTGGAATTGGAAGGAACAGTCATTAATCCTTGCAATCCATAACGCCGAGATGAGAATGGGTAAAGACCTTTTTTCGGATCATTATTGGTCAAACCAAAGAATAAAAACACTTGGTGAGCTGGAGGCACTTCAAATACAAAAGCAAGGATAATGGCTAGAATGGCTGAAAATGAGAGGTATAGTGGGCTACGACAAAATGACCAAAATATCCTTTAGGTCTCTGATCCTTCGACAAACCAAGTCTTTAGTGAGGGAGTTTTCTCACCCCTTTGCTATTGACGCGCCGATAGCTAGTAATACAACCAAGATGTGCGAATATGCACTAGAGTATTTTAGGGATATAGTTTCTACTAGAAGGCCTTTTGACACAGTGGATATTAATCTGGCAAAATACTCAGATTTTTTGGATGCTCCATATAACACTATCCCAGCATGAACAAAAGAAGAAATGGACCAGCCGATGACCGAACAAGAAATTATAACAGCAGTCAAACAAATGGCTAAAGGCAAATGCCCTGGACTTGACAGTCTCCTTATTGAACTTCTGTTGGCCTCATGGACGACCTTTGCTCCTTTCTTATGTAATATATATAACAAGGCTCGCACATCGGGATCCTTTCTGAATAACTTCACGAAAGGGATGATATCCCTCCTTTACAAAAAATGGGATAAAAAAGAAGTTCGAAATTGGAGACCTATTTCTTTGTTAAATGTCACTTACAAATTGTTCGCAAAGACCCTAGCCCTGCGTCTGGCGAAAGTGTTACCTACACTCATCGGCTGGGAACAGGGGGCGTTTGTTAAAGGCCGTTCCATCTTTGATAATATCCTGGCGACAATACAAGTTTTGGAAGTCATCAGTAAAGAAAACAGGGATATTGCAGTACTCCTGCTTGACATGGAAAAAGCCTATGACAAAGTAGGCTGGGGATTTGTCTTGACGACTCTTAAAAATATGGGTTTTGGAGAAACCTTTTGTACATGGGTTAAAGCTAGTTACACTCAGGCTTCCTTGGTAGTGGTACTTAATGGTAAACTCTTAGATAGCTTTCGCCTTACCCGTTCGCTGAGACAGGGGTGCCCTTTGGCCCCCCTACTCTTTGTCATTCGGTTAGAGGTGTTACTTAATAATATTAGGAAAAATTATCGTATAAAAGGGTTGAGTCTTACTCAGAACTTGCAGTGGAAAGGCGGGGCCATAGCCGATGACCTTACCATTGCCTGCGAAAATACGGTAGAATCTTAAGAATAACTGAGAACGGTCATAGATAATTATTGTTCCTGATCTGAGGCATCCATAAATTGGGACAAGTCTGTGTTCTTCCTCCCTCCTTCCCAGAACCTGAATGTTGATTGGGGTCTGCGGCGGGTACCAGCTAACTCTTCGGACCGCTTTCTTGGAGTGCAAGTGTCACTTTCTGACTGTTCCCTGACGCAGGATGCTATCTTGGCAGAGAAGGTGTCATCCATAATTTCTGGATGGATTCGCAGCCATAAACTCTCACTATTTGGGAGAGCAATGGTGCTATCATCTGCGGCCTTTTCTCTCCTATGGTTCCCGCTTTCAATTCACTTATTAGGAGCTGGTGCATATTCGCAGATCAAACGATCAGCTGCCAGATACTTATGGAAACCGAAAGCGGGAGAACAACAGGGCTACATGGCAAAGGTGGCATGGGAATCCGTAACCACCTCAAGAGAAGCAGGAGGGTTAGGGATACTCGACCCTATCCACCAAAATCTGGCATTGCTGATTAAGTGGGTCATAGCAGCCACATGGGGCTTGAAGTCCAAGTGGTGGGTGAAGATGGCTGAGTACATCTTAGCTAAGGAGTGGGGTTTGTCAAACCCCGGGGACGTATGGAGGTGTTTGTTCATCCCCCCTTTTGCTAATCTGCGACCAAGTTCTAAGCTGTGGAGGAATATACTTTATGCATGGCGAAAACTCTTTCCGGAGAAGAGGGGTCAACCTAACTCGAAACATGAGAAATTGAATCAATTTATTTTTGAGAACCCGCTGGTGGTTAGGGAAGATGGTGATATGCTGCACGCCGATGGTAGCAGAGGGACTTTTGGGAGGACGTGGGTGGAAAAAGGGGTGATTCAGATAAAGGATTTGTGGGATCAGGAGGTAGAGGAATGAATTTCTATAACAAGGTTGGGTAGGATGCTACCTCGTCGGCACAACTTGAAACGCAATTATGAAACAGTTAAAAGAGCTATTCCGGCACATTGGCTGGGTACCCTCCGAAATACAGACCGAGTACAGGTGGGCAAATGGCTGAAAGACCCAGATGCCCCAGACAGTTACCTGAAAGTGTTAGGCTTAGAGTTGTCAGGCGATGTCTAAGTCCAAGTCTGGAGGATATCTGCCGGTAGAAAGGGAGAACATTTCCTGGAACATACAGGAGAAAAGGTGATGCCTTCCACAGGGGGCTATGTGGAAAGCAGGGTCTGGACCCCGGATCCGGACAGACCATCAAAATCCTTATTACTATACGAGGACGCAACTAGTATTTCAGTTGAGCCTTGTCTGATGGATTGGGAAGGGCTAACCTCACAGACCTCCTTCTCGCCGACATTTCAGTATGGTCCAAGTTGGGGAGTTAAAATTTTGAGATCCAGAGTTAAAAAACAACCCATTACAATAGCGTCCGAACGTCTAAGGAAAGAGCCCGGGTTTGAAGTTGGAGCAGTAGACCTGTTTAAGCAGTGGGAAAGCTTGAGACTTGTACCTTCACAAAAACAGGCAAGCTTACTCTGGCTGCAGTCCTTATTGGCTACTCCCTCAGCGAAGTGGCTAGCAGCCAAGGGGATGTCGGTCTTAGAACAATGCTGCAGATGCCGGTGGGGTTGGTAGACTACAACGCACATCTGGCTGTACTGCCCCATCTCAACCCAGGTGTGGACCTGGTGGAAACAACTCTGGAGAGAATTGATGCAAGATACCTTTAAATGGACTCCGGAATGGATCTTATATGGGGATACACAGTCAGATATGATCCTGCTGGAGGGGTGGGGCTATATTGCCATGGTTTGCAGAGGCTCGGTGTTGGAAACCCTGTGGAAAGGGAGGAATAGCGCAGTTTTTGCAGGCGAGCAACTGCCCTTTCATGCTTTGATTGGAACCATCAAAAGCCATATCAGACTGGCAATCATCTGTGACTGGCAGTTGTCAAAATCACACGCGAGGAAGAACAGATTTTGGTTTCAGAAGACTTGGGGAAAAAACGGCTCCTTTGCCGTAATCTCCGCAGAAGGGAATTTGGTGTTGAGTAGTTGGTTATCAGCAAGGCCAAGAGAGGAAGTAGGGCCGTTGTAGGCCCGAAGTTACAGATGGGGTAAGCATGCCAGGGTCCCCAAATAGACCAAGGGCCTGCTGCTAGATGTTGCTTTGAATAGTGTTTGAAGGGTTACGGGTTTCCTTTGTTCTTGAGATTATTAAGTTGAAATAGTTAGGACTTTAGTTGGGAGGGGGTTATAATGGTGTATGGCATAGACTAGAAGGGGAAAGTAGCAGGAGTATCGGGTTAGCATAGTATTTCGATCTGAGAGGAGGTACAATGGGGAAAAGGCACATGTGTCCTTCTCAATATCTTACAAGCTTAGAATTAAGCTAAACCGGCTGATGCTGCCGGGATAACTCCAGGTAGAATTGTGAGGTCCCCGGCCTCGTTACTGGTTTTCGGAATAATAAAGAGGAAGCTTAAAAAAAAAGAAAAAAATAAAAAAAGAAAAGAATGAATGCCATTTGCGTGCCTAACCAACTGAAAAAAAAAAAAAAAAAAAGAAGAATGAATGCCATTTGCGTGCCTAACCAACTGAGCTACCGGTAGGCCTCTGGATAGTGTCTTTTTCACTCACACGCAGACAGAAGGCCTCTTGTCGCAGAAAACAGCATCCATCCGTCCGTTGTTCTTTGTTGCCCAACGTTCCAGTTCGCCCCAGATGTGCGGTCGGTGTGCGGGCGAGCGAGTGTGACTTGTGAACGGCGGGAAGGCGCGCGCACGAAAACCTTCCTCGAGAGGAATTGGCGGGTGTCGGTCTCTCCTTCTTCCTGGCGCGGAAGATAAGACAGGCCCAGGCGACAGCTACAGCCTTCGCTGGTAGGAGGGCAGGCGCCGAGACGAGAGTACAACAAAATCTCTACTGTCCTACAGCGCGGGCTAGTTGCCACGCGGGTTCGTCTTAAGCCCGCAACGTGTCACCCGGCCGCTCTCGCCTTGTGCTTGTGGTCGTAGGACGGGGCCGGGTGCGCCTGGCAGATGTGCGCGACGTCAGGCCCTCTTGCAGCCTCTCTGCAGCTGTGCGGTTAGTTGATCTCCGAAGAGCCCGATGGGTAAATTAGCACCGATCACTCTCATGCTGCGGAGTCAATTAGCGTGTTGGGCCACCTGCACAAGCTGCATGAATTACGCAAATGTATATGTGCATGTGTACATGTGGACGTGAATGTAACCGAGCGCGTCGGGAACTTGGCGCTGAAAGAACTACTGACCTGGCAGCCGCTGTTGGCGACGGAGTGTCTTGTCTGCTAGCTGGAGCAGATGGGTCGGAGGACTTGAGGTTCCCCTGTGTAGAGAGAAGATCGAAGAAGGAGGTTGGTGCTATCGTCATTCCCAAGAGGTGTGGGGACCGTCTGACAGATACGAGGGAGGGAGGGAGGGAGGGAAGAAATAGCTCTCACCCACCCTTGTCTGGATTGAGGTAATCGCTTCCGCGCTATGGTGGCTATTGGTATGCGAGCGGCGTTTTGGCGGTTTTCAGCGCACACTCAGTTGCATACGTCTCGGAAGATGTGCTAGGCGGGGAATGGTAGGGGTGGTGGATGGTGATGGGGAGAGAGTAGGTTGATGCCAACCCATCTAGCTTGACTAGGTAGAGCAGCAGACGGCTGTATCGTGGGTAGGAAGTAAAGCGCGGGGAACTGGCGAGAGGGACGGAGGTTTTGGAGGCCGCTGCTGAATGGGCTTGGAAGCGTTGGGGGTATCTTGAGAGAAGGGAGAGGAGAGGAGGGTGCATGGAGGGGGGTGGGTGGGTGTGTCATAAGGAAAAGGGAAGGGGGCGGGGGCGGGGGCGGAGGCGGACGGGGTGGGGGAAAAGGCGGGGGCGGACCGGGGGGGGCGGCAGAGTAGCAATATAATAGGCAGATAGGTAGTAGTGGGGAAGAGAGGGAGGTGGAGACGCTGGTGTAGAGATTGAGCAGAGTGATTGAGGGAGGGAGGGAGGGAGGTGGAGAGCGCGGTAAGGATTGAAGGGGAGAGAGAGGTAGGGGATTTTTGAGACTGTGTTGTGCATGTTGAGGCGGCTTCTTCGGAAGACTCGGGTGTGGCTGAAAGCGATGGCTGGCGGGAGTAGCACGACGTCCTCTGCGGGGTCCGAGATCCTCCTGTATGTCGTCAGCACGGCCGTGAGCTGTATCGTGCTGCTGATTGGCCTGAGGCATCTGGATCCCAATCGGGCTCAAGCTAAATTGGCAGCGGAGAGGAAGAAAGAGATCGCCCGAAGACTTGGAAGGCCGCTGCTTCAAACCAATGTCTACGAGGTTTGTCCCGCGTTGCCATATATACATATCTCTCCCTTCTTTCCCTTTCTATCTCATTTTCTTCGTCTTCTCTCTGTTCTCTTCCCCTCTCTGAACAACCTTCCTCTTCCTTCCCCCCTCTCCCCGCCGYCCCCCCCCCCSCCCCYCCCYYMCCYCCYYCYSYCMCCSC